AAAATTAATCTTTAACAATGTATAAAGGGAAGGGAGTCCTAATATATGAGAGTTCTGCAGTGCCCTCAACACTCACCCTTGCAAAAGCTTTGGAGAATTGCAGAAATGTTTAACTTTCTAGTTACACTAATTAAAGAGAGGATAGGTGATACTCCCCCCCTCCCCCCCCCCCTTTTTTCCATGGGGTGGGGGAAATCCTTGTGTTATGAAAGGAAGATGCAAGCTCTGAAGAGGTTTCTTCTAAGCTGAGTCGGTTTTTCTCCTGAAAGCAAACATCTTTGACTCCTCTCAGGCACCAAAGACGTTGTTGGAGGGTTCGTTGCAGGGTAGGGGAGAGCACCTGTGCCGTAACTCTGCAGCAGCCTTTTGCCTGGCTGGCTATTTCACCCACAGAGGTACGTGTTGAGAACAGGTCCTCAGTGGGGATCCTATGTTCCCCCTGCTCTCAGGGGTATAATCTGTTCCTTATTCCACCTTCTGTCCGTACTCCTCGGGGCAGGGAGCTGGCAGGCAGGCGAGCTGGCTTTGCTGGACTGAGCTATAAGACATATTTACCACTACGTATGCTTCATCTTTTTGCTGGGGGTACTGCACCTGTACTAACAGCTGTTGGCTCTGCAACTATAGAAAATGCTCCTTCTGACCCATTGGCCAAAACAGTCCTACTAGTTTAAGCAAGCCAGCTGGCAAAGCACACCTTCCCCCTTTTTCTTCATGTGTGTAAAAATTGAGTTATTTAACAGGGGGGAGCTGGAGTCCCAAGAAGCCTGGCTCTCTGGCAGCGGGTGGCTATTGACTGGGTTGTTTTCCCAAGCATCAGACACCCCAATGAATATCAACAAATTGGGAGGCAGTTTTCTTTTTAAAATATTCAAACCTTCTTATAGGGTTCATGGTTCAACATCAGCATCCTATTAATGTATGACGTCACTCTGTAATGACACTGTCACACAAATACAAGCTTTTAATGTGAGATTATGAGGCTTACATCAAATATCTATAAATCCTAATGTACCTCCCCATATATAGCGATGCCACTGCAGTCTCTGGGTGTATTCTTGCACATAACACTGCTCTGCATACTTTACTACCTGCCACGGCATGCCAAGTGGTGGTTGACAACGCTGAATCTGAGTAACTGTAGGTATCTCAATAGACTGCTCAGCTCTGTAGGTACATTCCTGTCCTGTAAGCTCTCTGTACAACTGGCAAAGGGCTTTAGCAAAAGCCAGAGTCATAGGAATGATTCCTTGGATGGATTGCATCTCACAAATGAGTGGTTTTTATTTGCAGCTTGGACCAGTGCCCTTTCAAGTCAATGGAAAGACAATTGATTGTAGCAGGTTCTGGACCAGGCTTCTGGCTACCTTTGTGCTTAATTTAAAAGTAATGTGTATCTACTGGTGAATGCCTCTAAACAGATTAAGAAAGTGCAATTGATTCAAAACTGACTATAGATGAACATAAAAGGCAAAATTGATTGGCTCAGTCTATTTTAATTTTCTGGGAATGGCGAAACGTAATAAATAAATAAAATGCCCCAAACCTAATGGCAAAAATACAAAGTACAAAGTAAACACAACTTTAAAAAATGCGTTGGAACGGAGGTCTTTACAAGGGCACGGGAACCGCTGTGGCCCTGGTTCCGATGTTGTCCGTGTCTGGTCCCTGGTCAGAACAACTGTAGTACAGGTCATCCGTGACCAGAGATTGCTGCAGCTGCAGATGCTCTTTTCCATTCATGTTCATTCGTTTGCCTTTTAAGGAGGAAGCGCTCTGTGTGTTAGGTGATATCTGTATAGGTACGTATGTACGTATTTGTATATTACATATCTAGGCGTATATATATGTGTGTGTGTATACAGGTGTGTATATATGCAGCAGGTTTAGGTGCAAGGATACAATTTACAGAAAGGCAAAGAATAAGCATTCTGAGGAGCAGGGGAAAGGGGGAACCTGTGTTCCTGGTCTGGTGGGCTGTTTCTCTAGGTTTAGTGCCTCCCTTTTTGCCGCACTCTCACTCTTGTTAGGGCTGATGAGTCCCTGGGCAGTCACTGAGACCTGGTAACTGCTCAAAGGTACCATAATGGCCATAAAATGATTTTTAGTATCTGATCAGTGCCGTTCTCTTTAGCCTGTGAAGTCACAGCAGAGAGTGAATTGCAATTATTTTGAAGTGGAAATTCACACACCTTCCCTCCCCTCCCCTTTTAATTGTTATGATAAATTGTGACTTTGGAAAAACATATAAAGCTTTGGCATGATAAAGGTCATGCTGATATCAAATCCTAGCTTTTCAGCATGACAGAAATCTGGTGCAAATACTGCCCTCCTTGCTTTTCCTTTCCTTCCCCTCACTTTTCCCTTTCTCCCCTCTTCTTCTCCCTACTGTCCTTTTGACACTGTGCAAGCTAGGGTTACTAAGATGGCTTTAGACAGAGGGTAAGCTCTGCGCACATCCTCTGTATGCACTGGAGCAGGAAAGGGGCCAGGGGTGGAAATGCACCTAGTATGTGAATGCACCTAGTATGTGAAAAGTGTTTAAGAGTAGGAGACGCACAATTTACATCGTGTGTTCCTCCGGGGAACAGACAGTGAGAAACCTCTTTGCCAAGGGCCATGTGGGTGGGGGGGAGCCCACAGGGATGAGGGGAAGCATTTGCTGTTTGTCACATAGATGCAGTTGGCCCCTCACACCATAGCAATTCACCTTGTGCAGGTGGGTCTCTGAGAGTCCCCAGCGGTATTTGCAGTAAGGATAGTCTCCTGTGTCCGCGTCTGGGCATTTGGACTCACCACAAAGCCTGTTGCAGCTTGATCCAAGTTTTGTACTTGGGGTACTCGGAGATGTAGGAGCATTCACCTTGTTGCTGTCCAAGGGTGCTTTTCTTCCTCACATCTCTCTCAAGAAGAAAGTATTTTTCCTTGTATATGTGCGTCTTCCCATTTTTAAGCCAGTTTGGCTCTTCTCTCCCTTGGGTGCCTGCTGTTCACAGGCAGCTGTGTTCTTGGCTTGGAAGGGCATCAGAATGGGAAAGCTAATGTTCCTCCTTGGGGTGATGCCTTCCAGATGGATTTAGCTAATTATCACAATGATTAGGGCTCCCCTTAATGACCACAACTGGAATTTATTGACAGAGGTAAACAAGAAGTTTTTGTTTTGTATTTGTGGAAAGTTCTTAATTTGTTTAATTAAAAAAACATGGGCTCCTCTATCACTTAGTCTTGCTCCGTTCTCCCCTGCAGAGAGCCTGACTGGCTTTCCCAGGGCATTTCATTTTGCCAGGTTTATTTGCAAAGTTGGAATCGATGTTTCAGAGAAGCTGTTACTAGTTAAATGTTACTCTCTGCTTATTCAACCTGTTTCACACACCTTTCTTCCTTTTGTTCCAGTCCTTGCTAAAAACATGTTTCTTTTCTATGACTTGTCCTATTGAAGGAAGTATGCCTACATACCTGTACCAAGAATGTGCATGAAAACTGTGCTTCGCTTCCCCTTGCTGTGGTTTCCTTCCCAGTTTCATGATTTTGTTTGCTAAAATTTTAAATTCTGTGGGGCAATGACATTACAGTCTCCCTGGGTTTCCAGTGTACATCTTCCACTGTAAGTGCTCATATTATGGCTCTCTGTCTTGGTCAATCACAGCTCGAGCTAAACACCCCAAGTGCTAGAAACATGTTCTATCACAGTGAGAGCTAAAACCCCAACACACTCTAGTTTAGGCTGCACTAGGCTCGTATCTTCTCGTGGATCAGGCGCAAAGGGTGCAGCGACAGAGTAATCTATAATACATTCTCACTACTTGCAGAAGATAGAAGGTTGGGACCAGGGTCATGTTTGCTAGGTTCTGTACACAAATACACATGCAGTGAAAAAGCAGCTTTTGCCTCTTGAGAATTTTCCTCCTGTTTATTTGGGTCTTGTCAGAAGTGAATTGTTGAGGAAAGTACACTGCCAGGACCACCTAGGGAAAGTCTGCACAAGGCAAGACCTGCTAGATTCATCTGAACATGCAAATGAACAGTGAAAAGTAGCCTCAGTAATTCAAGTTGAATTTGATGTGGACTGTTCACTGGTGTGAGAGTCAAACCTGCTGCTGGCTGGCATAGGCAGTTTTCCCTTTGCAGTCAAAAGTGTTCTGGATTATCTGGGTCACATCTTCTCTGGGCTACTGGCAAAGGTTTAATTTAACCTATTCTGCTATGTTAATGTGCAGCATTTGGTAGGACATATTCTGGAGAGAGAGATTGGTGCCTAAAAAGGAAAGGCTGAGAGAGTTGGGGTTGTTCAGCCTGGAGAAGAGAAGGCTTCGGGGAGACCTTATTGCAGCCGGTCAGTACTTAAAGGGGGCTTATAAAAAAGATGGCGGCAAACTTTTTAGCAGGGCCTGTTGCGACAGGACAAGGGGGAACGGCTTTAAACTAAAGGGGGGTAGATTTAGACTAGATATAAGGAAGAAATGTTTTATGCTGAGGGTGGTGAAGCGCTGGCACAGGTTGCCCAGAGAGGTGGTGGATGCCCCATCCCTGGAAACATTCCAGGTCAGGTTGGACGGGGCTCTGAGCAACCTGATCTAGTTGAAGATGTCCCTGCCCACGGCAGGGGGGTTGGACTAGATGACCTCTAAAGGTCCCTTCCAACCCAAACCATTCTGTGATTCTATGATTCTAATTCTGCTGCCATCTTCCTTTCCTGTTGGTGTGGGTGAGATGCAAGCTAGGAGTGAAGAGGTGGGGAGAGGCTGGAAGTGCACAACTTGAATATTAGAACTGGAAGAACTAGATATAGATATGCCTCTGCTGAAAAGTCTTTTGCAAAGCAAACATAGCCCTTGCCCACTCAACATACTGGTCTGAAACCTGCAATGACTAACAGCATTGCCTTCGCAGGGCAGCCATTTGAGAGGAGCTGCTTGGTTCTGGGTTGCCTAACCAAATTCTTGTTTTCTTCTCTTTTGCTCCTGCCCTTTCCCATTCCAACTAATTCCATCCTGTGCCAGAACCGGGGTCGCCTGGCAGAGAAGAGGACGATTCCCTTACCTCCAACCAGGATCCCGAAGAAAGAGCTGACCTCAATTTTCTCACATAGTGATGACAGCGAAGAGAGTGATAAGAGCAATGGTCAACACCCTGAAGTAAAGCAGGAGGAGGATCTCCATATCAGTATCATGAAAAGAAGGTACTTTCCTGCCAGGGAGTGCTGCATTACAAGAGCAAAGACAGGGAAAACTGGACAGCAGGTGACCAGCCTTTGTGGGCCAATACTGCCCAGGCTGCCCAATGGAGTCACCTCCAGGGCCTGAAATGAAAGTGCAAATGTCACAGCATAGCTCAGAAAGAGTCGTTGGGTCCTCTTTTCTACTTAGTTACTCCTGTCTGGGGGGAGTAGGCCTCTATGGGGCCTTGCACCATCGGCTTTGTGTTTGCACTAAAGGCGTCTGTATTTGCAGACTGTAAATTGTATTTCACCCTCTGTCCAGCATTCTGTATCTTTGTGCCTGGTGAGGCCAACAAATTGCATGACCAAGAAGTCATCTGTGGGCCTTTTACATAGCTGTCTGAAAATACACAGAGGTGTATGCCTCCTAAGTTCTGCCTTTTGCTTTCAATTGTCCCCAAATTCTGATGTAATAGAAACTGGATAATTTAATGTTGGGGAACAAAGTTTGGGAAGGAGGTAGCAGCAATGGTGGTTGTTATATGTTCTTGATTACAAGTGTCAAAGAGCATACCCGTGTCTCACTGATCCTGAGTAGTCTAAAAGTAGAAGTAATGGAGTTGCAGTAGGCAAAGAGTCACTCAGATCCTGGGGCTTACCTCAATACTTACATATTTTGATCGTGTCTTTCTCAGTACCATATATGTTCATCCTGGAATCACGCAGGGTTAAAGGAAGAGGAAAAGGGATTGTCTTGAGTTACATTCTGGTAACATTCACTTGGGCTCTCATGTATAGCCTCAGTGCCCATAGTATTCAGCTGCAAAATTTTGGGTTCTGTTATCCCTCTGGAAAAATATGATGTTTAGAAGACCTGTAACTACAGGAAAATAAATACCTAAAGGCACTGTGTCTCAGCCTCCCATACATGTCATTGCAACTCATCTTGATTGTCATCTTCCTCTGATGCATAAAATCACTCAGATTCTAAGACAAGTCCAGTAAAAACAGAGGAGTGGAAACTGAAGGCATGTAATTGCTTTTCATATGTTTTATGTGTTTCTTGCTCCTGAGTAGATAAGCTGTTTCCCCCCTTGCCTTCCAGCAGATGCTGGTACATTCAGCAACTGAGAGCTTGAAAGTAGGGAGACAAAACAGTAACCAGCTCTTCTCATAAAACCCGCCTGTAATTAAAGTCTGGGTTTATCATTGCAGCTGTCCAACAGCCATGTTCAAGGGTTATTGCTTGGAAATGAAAAGGTGTTTGGGGAATGCATCTGCACTGTGCATGCGCACAGGAGCCACAGAGGAGAGGGAACCCTCCTAATCAGTTTTGGTAAACTGCCCTTTTTCTCTTGCCCCCTTTAATTATGCTTTTAATTCTGCAAAATTATGGTGCTAGATTGTCTCATTAGGAGGGAGAACAACATGATAACTATATAATTGATATGCTGGGCCCCCCAAATATAAAGTGCTCTTATTTTAAATCTTTAATTACTATAATTGCTTTGCCTTGTTTATTAGCAAATGAAGAAAAAATACTTAATAGCTATTAGCCAAAGGTCCCCCAGCTTACCATTTCTGTGCTCTTCAGTACTTTTCAGTCAGTTTGGCTGAAGATCTCTTGTTTAAGCTTTGTCTTGATTCCTTAGAGGAGTGCATGATTCTTACCAGGTAGGCTGACTCTCATTGCTTTTGTACAGTTGTTCTCCTTTTCATTTTCGTGGGAGCTCAATACAGCGTGTGTGGGAAAAGCTAGAATAGCCGGGGCAAACAGGGGCCAGGCAGCACTCTTGATGAGTGCAGTAATAACAGGGTAAAAGAGCACGTAATTCAGTGCTTGGTGCCCAGGCAGGGAACATCTACTGCTCAAATCCCTCAGCATTTCCAAGCATTTTGTCCCTTGCAAATGGGTCCCCCAACCCTTCTGTCCCAAAGAGGGGAAGGACTGGCCATTTCCACCTGCTGAAGAGCAATGAATGGGAAGCGACCCGACCCCACTCTTGCCCAAACCCTGCTGGAGGGAGCAGGCTCTGGCTCTGTTCCCACTGTCATTAGCAGCCCAGGGACTGGGGTGGAAGGCGTGATGGGGCTGGCTCCAAAGACAGCAGCAGCATCATAAAGGCTAGACAGCTCGCAGACATGACAGCTGGGGCCCGGCAGAGACAGTGCCCCATCTGCTTTCTGTTTTTAATTCACCTGTTGTATCCTCCCCGATTGGTGATGGATTGGGCTGAGGTTTTATTGTCTCCCACTGAGAGGAAGAAATAGGTTAAACTGTGATAGTAGGAAAACAAGGTCAGGGCCTGAGCAATCCTGTGTTCTCCTCTTGTACCCCTGGATGGCCCTCGTGCACACCTGCATGCACTTATGTTATAAACACTTGCATTATTGCTTTGAACATTGTTGCCTTTTCTTTTTTCTCCTATTCCCAATTTCCCTTATATTGACTGTTTCTTTCCATTGTTGGCACAAGGGAATGCTTACTGCTACTTTGAGGTCTGGGCATTGGCGAAGAAAAGACCCTAGGGATTAGAATAGGAGTCGGAAGCTTAGTTTCTTGGCTAGTCCCTCACCCTAGCCTTTGACAGTGATTTCCTCTGTGATCTTAGGCAATTGCCCATGGTGATGGCCTTCAGAGGAGGTCTGAGGCAGAGAAAACCTGCCTCATGATGTTCTTGCAGTCCTAGAAAGGAGCAGAGACCTGTAACTACCACTGAATTTCAGTGCATTTCAGTGCATGCCGACTTACTTCACAACAAAGTCCTTGCAAAACTGTGTCACTTTGCTGTCTTGCGCATAGGTAATTAAGTTAAGGAAACCAAGCCTCACACTGAAGTGAGCTTGGCTCATCTGCTTTGAAATCCAGGTGACCCAAGCTTAAAGGTGAATGTTTTCATCTTGTAGTGAGACCCCTTGAGTCCTCTTTAGCCTGCTTTGCAGGGTGTGCTAAGTAGCCTTTGTGTTATGCCTCCTGTCTGGAAGACAGAGGGCTTAAAATCTTGTCTCATATAACCAGAGGCATCTGCTGAGCTTGATACCGTAGCTTGATACCCAGACTGTAAGCATCAGCTCTGAAGATTATTGGGACAGCGTTGCAGAGGAAAATCCTTTTTCTTTCGATCAGATTTTGGGTTCCTGAAAATCTTGCTCTTTTACAACATGGCCTACATGCAACAGTTGCATTGCCTGAATTACTATGGCAATGCATAGTAAAACCAGGTTTGGTTAAGTTGTACTGACTCCTGGTGAGAATGCTTGTCTGGCTATGAAAATAGTTTTTCCTATTTGGGGAAAAGAATGATATCAGTATAGGGCATTTCTATACCGAAGCACCTATGTCACCTGTACGGTTATTTTAGTCATAATAATACTGGCATAGCTGAACTGGTACAAGAACTATGTAGAGCAGACTCCAGTTAGAAGCTTTGGCTTCACGAAGCCTTTTTCCTTTCTCGCAGACTATTAACTAAGCTGCCTCTCCCCAGCAAGCTAAACTAAAAGTTATGCCAGTCTGCTTTTTTTGTTACCGCTCTCTGGTTTATCCTATACACAAAATGAGCAATGCAGAGGAAGTTTGAGACTACAAATTCCATTGCTCTGCAACAGTTTGGGGAGCATTAACTTATACTCATTGGGAGATTCCAACCTTTAAGGATCTCCGTTACGTTATCCCAAGAATTTCCAAACGGAGGAAAGCCAGTGTAGCCAGAGAGTAAGGTTCAGCTTTAACAGTAAGATCCTCACGTGCTGTTGGATTTAAGGCCAGCATTGTCTTGCGGGTGCATGAATTTGATTTCTGTTTTAAAGACTGGCCTTTTTCATTAGTATGGAAGGTGAAGGGAAGAGAAGAAGAGAAATGTAATGCATCTGAGATTTAACAGTGTAGGTTAGGAACTGCTCATGCACAGCTTTGTCTAAGTCCCCAGCAAAACGTGATGGCATGGCTAGTAGTAAGAGGCAGTAATATTTAAGCACCTGTTTAAAATGGTGAAAGTTTTTGACCTGACCTGTCTCTGAAGGAACCCTTATGGGATATCGGCAAACACGTACACTGGACTGAGTAATAGGCAGAATAGGTGCAAATGGACATGTATAGTGAAAATGCCTTTGAAGTTCTTTTATTAAAAAAAGAGGATTGGGAGCAAAAGTAGGAGCAGATTGTACAATGAGAGCACGCAACGGGCTGGGTTTCTTGCCAAATATTGCTCTGAAATAAAAGCCATTTTGAGGAGAAATAACAAAAGTTGTCCTGTAACAGGGTGTCTGTACACTAAGAAGCAGATTTCTGGAGAACCTCATACTGTCCTTAAGTCCCTCCTCCTTTTTTTATGTCACTGCCCCCCACACCCCCGAATCTTCTCTGGCTGTGTCAGCAGTATGACCCCAGTGTCCAGCACCTGGCATGGGCTTAGTATTATTTCAAAGCAGAGGAGAGCATTTGAAATGAAGGTGCTTACTCAAGGAATGGTGGAACACTGTCTCCTTTCCCCTGTTCACACGTGAACATGGATAGAGTCCAGACAGGGGCAAGTTCCTCTCCTCCGTCCCTCAGCATCCCTCACCTCGCAGACCAGCTTTACAGCATTCTCCTCGCTCAGTGTCCATTTTCTAATAGCGAAATTACTGACCTCCACTAAGCCTTAATGGCTAGTGGCTGTCAGCCTTTCCACTGCCTGCCTTTTAAGTGGAAAGCTATTTCTTATATCCCATAAGGCTGCTGCTCTTTGACTCCCTAATTGATTGACGATCAAACCCAAGCATCCCCCCATTATATTTGTCACATGCACCTGCTTGTAATTCAGAGCCATGAGGTCCCAGTGCCTCCTCAGCTGATGTGCAATGTACACAACACTGCCTTTGCCTTCCTTCTCTTGCTTGGCCTCTTCCCGCAGTGGTCCCAAACAGTCCACCCTGGTGCCCTGGGATGAGAGCTGTGTGACATCCCCCCTCCTGGTGGAGCTCAGTTTCATGGCAGGATGTGCCACACAACACTGCTTTTTACCCGCTGCCAAAGCCAG